TTTATGAACAAGTACAGAGAAATAATCAGATTCTAAGGCATAAAACTTGAGACTTCCAGAGGTCTGAATTTTCTGCACTTCGCTGTGAACCAGCATTTGTTATATCACGCACTAGTCAGTACTGCTAATGTTAGATATAAAGGTCATCTTGAAACAAAGAACCAAAAGCAGTTCAGCTCATTTATAGGAAGATGTCCCCACCAGACACGCACTGTGGAAAGAAATTCAACTTTATGGGGGCATGATTTCTTTAATTTTTGTCCATATAAGGTGTGCTCCAGGCCAGGACTCTATCCACACTGAAGAACGTTTATGATTTATCACAAAAGGACTGGGTTGGAAGTGGCGTGGCCTTGCTTGCATCTAGCTAGCCTGTAATCTCTACAGAGGTCTCCACACAATAATAATAATACTGCTGTTGAGAGGATTAAATATTTTGTCCTTTTGGACATCGCCACAGAAAACTTCCTTTGTGTCATGCAGAAATCCGTGGAACCACAAATGTTCACTGACAGTAACTGCTTAATCCTGTGGAAAGTTTGTGCTGCCTCCAAGCCAACTAATTAGACACCCTCTCCTCTGATACACCTTTCAGGGTGCTACACTTGTGGTCCTCGGAAAATTTCTGACAAAGGTATCTGCTCTGAATTTCTCCTAGCCTTCTCCAGAGCAAGTATTTGTTGTAAAAAAGCTCAGAAAGACACTTAACTTCAATCATGTGAATAATAGCCCATTGACTTTAATGTCCCCACTCATGAGCGCAAAGTTAAGCACGTGCTTAAGTGTTCTGCGTATTGGGATCCTTGGTTAATTTACATTTAATGTGCCGAAGAGCAGAATGTAGAAAATAATTCATTTTTCAGTTTCATGCACAAGCATCTATTACTACAGAAATAAAGCAGATTCATCTTTGCAGGATACTGTTTTTTGTTTTGTTTTTTTTTTTTTTAGTGAGATTTTTGCTTTTTATCAGGATAATGTGTTGCTTTGTCTTTCAATTAACTCTTTCCTTCATTACAGAAAAAAAAAAATATTTTTTTTTCCTTTTCTTAAATGTAGGTCAATTTTATGATTAAAGCCTGTAGAAAATAAATCAAAAATACACATCAGAGTTATCAATCAAAATACTTTGTTTCAAGTACACTAAAATGATCTACTTTGGCTAATACCAGATTTTGGCCATTTTCAACCCCAAAACTTCATTTTTTTCTGGAAATAATGGATATTCATTGGAAAAAAAACCCAACAACAACAACAACAACAACAACAACAAAAAAACACAAAAAATAGCTGACCTAGGCTTCATAGAAATAAGCTCTTTGTCTCAACGTTTCATTAATATCTTAAGAAGCAAACAAGTTAAATACATGTGAAATTGCAGCAATCTATATTAATTTGCAGGCATACAGAAATCCATTTCTCTCCTTTTTATGTCAATTACAAAATTACCATTCTGATACTTTATTAGCCTCTTTGGCATTTCCAACTAATTCATAGGCACGGATACTATTTTTTTTTTTAATTATTATTAACCTACTGCATTCTAAATTATTTTATTTAAATGCCCTGCTGGCTGTCCACATTTGCTTTTATTCTATTATTACTGTATATGAATGGAAATTATGTATAGCTATTAGATTATTTCACACATTAGCTCATTTATATAATCTTTCCTGTATTTATTGCCTTCGTTAGACTGAAATACCGCAGGCACTTGTTTCTCTAACAAGTCTGAAGTTCTCCCATTATAGGAAATTGGGTTATATCTCCTGATTACAGTCAGACAAAACCAGGCGCGTGCGCTGGCTGCAGCAACCTGTGACAGGCCATCTTGCTGGCCAGCCATTTGCAGGAGGGTTGTGGACATGGTGGTCTCCAGAGGCAGCCGGGCCCACATCCAGCCTCACCGCTGCACGGGGAGGCCTGGGAGAGTGATGAGGGCTGGCCTCAGATCAGCTCCTGGCCTGCAGGTCTTGCAGGATCAGAGCTGCTCTCCGGGAGGAGCAAGTTTCTCCTCCCTGAATCTGCCCATGTCTACAACAGCTGTAGGAGCCACAGTTTGACATGTGATTTAAGCAGCCATGAGGATTAACATGCTAACTGTGGGTTCCTGGCTCAGCTCTGGCACCAATTTTAAGCCAGCTGACAACAAACAGGCAGCACCGAGCATGGTGAGCATCACCCAAACACACCCTCAGGGCCAGGAGACAGAGCAGCAAAGGCCATGAAACTCAGCACAGCCGCCCACCATACTACCTACCACCCTAGCATAGAGGTTCCTGCTTGAGCAGGTCTGCTCAAGCATCCCCGCAGCACAGCAAGGACATGATATTAGTCCCTGTCCTGCATGTCACTTGAACAGAAATGCTGGGAAACAGCCAAGACACCTTCCAAGTCCTTAGACAGCTGGAATGATTCTGCCCACACTTCCGGAGACGTTCTAGGTCAATAGCCATAGGCACCTCTCAGAGCAGCTCTTTCTGAGCAAGGACCACAGTGCCCACAGAGATCCCTAGGTGGGTGTTGCAGGGAGGAGTCAATCTAACCTTGATGAGCATTCCCCACCAGGCATAGTAATGGATTTTGGGAGTACATCTGACATTTTGGCTGCTCTCCAGTTCTGTCTTCCTCAGGTACTGTCATGCTAGCAGATTCTGATTCTAGACAAGTAGGAATTATATCCTTTGAAGTATCTAGATCTCCACCCATCAGCTTGGATTCCATTCTGTGTGACTCCTTGTGCTGGACACAGCTGCCCGTATCAGCTATAGAAAGCCAGGAGCTGATATGCCTCAGTTCTGCTGTGGATATCAGTAGTCACAATGGAGATAAGAGCCTAAAAACTTAAGCCAACTCTTGGCCAACCAGCACAGGTCAGCAACTGCCTCCTTTGTAAATCTGAACTGGCTAATTTAAGCTGGCAGGAGAAAGAGCACAGCACAACTCCATCTCCAGGGTATGTGCATTGAGGGGGTTGCAAGCACTGTGCAGACTTCAGAAGAAGGAGAAAAGAAGAAATTCAGAAGAGAAAATTCCTCCCAAACAAGGTCATCCTGAAGCACGGCTTGGGTACTTGGGTGGCTGGTCTCAAATTCTGCAGGGCATCTGTATACACAGAATGGAAGTCCATGAGCCCAGCAGATCAATCTCTTACTCACCCTTTTGGATGGAGTTTTTCCCACTTGTCTACTCAAAAGACACAGCAGTTGGCCTTCATTTTTAACAGGCAATTTTCATCTGGTTCCAGATGCTCTAGTAGATCATAATTTTGCCCATATGTTGCACTTGCACTAGCAGCTGTGTTTGAGGCATATCACAGCCATTTCAGTATGTACTATGGCCTTTCTCTTCCCCAAGAAAAACAGCACATGCTTTAGGATATCAAAAGCAAAACAGGTAAGTAAGCAAAGAAAAGCAGAAGAAAATGACCTTAATCCAATACACACAAGAAATCCTACAGTGATATCGACCGAAATAGGGCTAGAAACCTACATCCAAAGGCTCTATGAAGCTCCAGGAAGTACCACTTCAATTGATATTTCACACACATCTCTCTGCAGGTATGGAGAGTGTTTTGAAAAACATGAGAAAGAAAGCATAGCTATCTCTGTGAGCCAAAGCATAGCTCTCTCTCTGAGACTATGCACAGTCTGAAACAATAGATCAGAGGTATGAACTACCCCATTTAGCTTGGACAGTTGAAAACCTAATGGTGACAAACTAATGTTAACTCTGGTAGGGCTGGTTGGTTTTGAACAGTGCCTTTCAACCTGAGGGAGTCCACGGGCTTCTCAGGAGCCTGTGCTACAACCTCCACCTGACAGAAGAGCATCCTCCTCACCCCCTCCTCAACACAGAACACTGCAAATGTGGAACAAATTGAGGTTGGAATGAAAACAAATAACAGGAGCATCTCTGCATGGATTGTATTATTCTGTGTCATATTTCTTTCCAGGGATAAAAAAGAAACATCTAGATGGGAAAAAAAAAGCCAATGAAAAAACCTCTTAGAAACGAATCCACCACAGAATTCCTAGCCTGATGCACAGGACACTGTATACACAGGGGGACCGACCACAATTTATTTCTAGACTGTCAAGGGGCACTAAAGAGACACTAACTATAACCAGACAAGCAGTAGCAAATCAACACACACATTCCTCTTTTTGCTGTTATCCCCAATAGCAGTGTATGTGACCTGTTGCTATGTGGTTGCCTGACAATGACAGGACCCCTAAAGAAGCCCCAGTGACTGAGTAACAAACACAGCACAGGCAATCGAGCCTCACAGAACTCAATTCCTTGTGAGTAACCTTGCAACAAAACAAAAACAAAGCAGTGCATACAGCTTCAGACCCTCATGAGCCAGACAGTGCTAACCTGCATGCATGAGCAATCTCCTCAAAATCCTCAGTGTGCAAAGCCCAGCAAAAGCAAATGCTCTGTGAGTACAAAACGCACTGCATGTAAACAAGGCAGTGAAACACAGTGAAACAGGGAATGATTTTTTGTGCTAAACCTCCAAAGGCCTTGAAAAAATGACAGTCTAACTTAAAATGCAAGGAATAGTAAATCATCAAAGCCAAGCTGATTTACCCCCATAGGCAGAAGTTGTCCCCAGAATAAACTAACAGATCATATTTGCTAGCACAGTAGTCACAGTTCCCCACACAGACAAATTACTTCGTCCTGAAAAAAACAGGTTGCAGCCATTATACACATCACCTTCAAAGCAGCATTAATTCATTTCTTGCTGCCAATCAAGGTGTAGTTTGGGATCACGCAAGCAAGCACAGTTCAGTTTTGTTTCCATAATTCACTCCTGAAATGCTTAAAATGTGTAAAATTTGAACTGAATACCAGTGAAGAACAGTTGTGCTATTTAAACCAGGGACTACAGCAATGTCACAACTGAAAAAATCTGAATATTTTAGCAGAAAGAGAAGAAAGAGCAACACAACCTCTTCTGTGAAGAAGGCTGCTCTGGGGGGATCCATTACCTTTTTGTCGCTTAAGCCAGACACCTGGTCCACATATTCCTCTTGGATCATGAAGGCAGCCAGATTGGCAGTGTAGCTGGCCAGGAAGATGACAGCAAAGAAGGCCCACACTGACACCATGATCTTGCTAGTGGTACCTTTGGGATTCTGCACTGGCACAGAGTTGTTGAACACCAGCCCCCACAGCAACCAGATAGCTTTGCCAATGGTGAAAGAGGGACCTCCTGGCTCTAGAGTGATTGAGAAACAAGATTCCACAGTGAGCATCTCAGAGCAATAGTCTGCATTTCTCTTTACATACATGACTTCAGAGTTAAGGCTAGTATCTATTCCCATGAGATGAATGTTCATAGCTATGCTCTCCTGTGTTCATGACACTATATCTAAGCAAAGCATGACCCTGAAAAGTGATTTTCTAAAATGTCCTCAGGCTTCTGTATTCATTCTGTCCCAAAGATTTCCAATGAAGGTTTATATAAGGGCTTTTTTGTACCTGATTAGGAAATGTAGAACACTCCATTTCAGTTCAAGTGTAGTCACCAGAAATAGTTTTCTCAGAAGAACTCTACCCTCGTTTCTAGTTGTTTAACAGTGGTTTTGTTCCTAAACTCCTACCATACATCTGTGCAAAATATGGCCCTCACTGCACTTGTATAGGTGCAAGAAAGAGCATCGTCTGAAATAACAAGGATCTAGAAATACATCTGCAAGAATATTATTGAGTCTGCTGATGTTACATGAGCCAGAGAAGGACCCAGCTCCGTCTCCATGTACTGCATCTAAGCTACATAACATACACTTTGGTCTCTCTCAGGAAGAACAAATCCAATGTTTACAAAGCTGATATTTTCCCCTTATTCACTTTTCAGAGTAAAAGTTCACACATAGCCCAAAAGCCAAGCATGCTCATGAAACACCATGCCTGAAACCTTGTGAAATCCTGTCTGGATCTCAGCAGTCCCACATCCCTGGCATATGCAGGTTCCATTAGTGGGAACCAAAACATATGCTCAAATTGAGCACAAGAGGAACTGTCACTGAGACTGCAGCTGGAATTACTCAAAGGATCATGCTTCAGGCACTGAGAAGATTCTCCTGGGAGAAGATTCTCTGGCACAATTCAAGTAGTGCCTGTCACTTTTCCGATGGTGCTACCCTGGCTCTGCAACCCTTTGGTTTAGCATCCCATGCTTCATGTCCTCCCTTGGGAAGATGGGAGCCTGGTGCTGCTGCCTGTGATTAAGGTTGGCTCCAGCAGAGAAACAGAAGGGAAGAAAGTCAATTGATGACTTCTCTCCACAGCACTGAGCAGGGAAAAGTATGGATCATCTGAAGGCACTAACTGTGCATGCCTTTAATGCAGCTGAAAAGTGCAAGGGGCTCATTGTGTAATCTGGGAATTGCACATTAAGTTCTAAGTAGAATCATCATCTGGCAAAACTGGAGCCTTTAGATGTGAGGTGATAAAGTTGGTGTAAGAAATGGGTTTGACACTCCTCGCATTTTACATGTTGGAGTGGTAACTTCAAATTCCTCTTTACTAAATGAGTGAGACGTCTGAATCATATGCCTCTGTAAGGTACAGTACTTCAAGGTACAGGTATGGACTTAACCTAAGACACAAGTGCAAGCCCTGTAAAACATCAGTGGGAACTGTAAACTGTAAGAAAATCTCAAGAAGTTCTTCACTATTATCTTCTTCTGTCCACCAGTCACCCCCATTTGCTTTGAGCCACAAATCAAGACAGCAACCGGAGTCTCTAATCCATACCAGGAACGAGATTTCAAACTTGGAGTGACTGAAGAACAACAAATCAGTGTAGTTGGAGGCTAGATCAGGACATGCTCACCTAACTTGGAGAGAAAATCTCAGGTGTCCTTAAAGAGAAAATCCAGATCTAGGGGCAGATTAATACTATTGTAGACTATTTGAATGCAGCCAAAATAACATTAGCAACAACATTCATTACCAAAGAGGCATTTCAGCCTCCACAGACTGCTTTCTACATCTCTGCATTACGTATGACAGGGATAATATCTTCCTGATGGTGCAGTACCATTCATGATTACTCAGAAATGTTGATACTCCAGCTACAGTTCACCTAACTTAATAACTGTACAACTGCATACCTGTGTTAAAAACTGCTTCCAATTCTACATCTGTATTAATACCTCCCAGGAGACTCACAGGTTTATCAGTATTTACTGGTATCCAAAGATCTATGTTGCCATGAACGCACCCCATGGTTCCATCATAAGAGAAAAAAGTTCTTCACTTCCCCATATATGTGGTTCTGCCTGCATTCCTCTAAACACTTTTTTTTTCCCAACCTGATCTAGTAGAAGGTGTCCTTGCCCATGGCAGGGTGTTGGAACTGGATGACTTTCATGTCCCTTAAATTCATTCAAAGTAATAAATTAGGAGCAAATGAATGCATTTTCTAAAAACTCCCAATCCTACCACTCTCAACTGACCAATAAGTTCTGGAAAGGTTTTAAGTGCCGATTTGTTAGGGCATGAAATAAGGAGGTGACAACAGGTTCAACTTGCTAATTGTCTTCATACCAACAAAGGAGAAAATTCTGCCTCTCAAGTTGTCTGTCCATCTCTTTAACTGTCTTCTGAAGATCAGAACCACAGAGTTAAGTCACTCATTCCTATCTTTCCTACTGCCTTTACAATATAATTCCTTGCCCAATCCCAGAAAAAATGAGCTTCTCATTTTCACAGTTGGCTTTGGCAAGCCAGAGAGCCAATCTGGAGAGGGTGATGCCCAGCTGACAGATGTGGGCTCTGGAGTACGGCACTACACTGGGAGGCCGGCAGCGCTGCTTGCTCTCCTAGGAGATGTAGCACTGAAGGGCAGATTGAAAATGGAGAGCCCTCTGATTGCCTCAGAGAGAGCAGCACTGTAGGCACTGCCAACACCAGCTACCAGGATTCCTATCCCCTTCATAAGAAATGAATTGGAGCTAGCACTTGCTTTAGAGATGAAAGCATCACAGCTCAGTCTCCTGAGCCAAGCAAATTATCTATTATCCACATCTGTTTGCTACAGAGATGTTTTCCGCCTCCCTCCCTGCCCCCCTTTAAGCACACCTCTTCGAGTGGACTGTATCACATTTAAGTGAAGGAAATGCCACTAATGAATGACCCAGGATTGGAAGAGGAGGATTGTGGCAAGGAATGGCTTCCCTTACCTCTGCCATCAGCAAGGCACCGATTATAGCCCACAGGGCTGAAGTACTCAAAGACAAAGACGGCCACTGCAGAGATGATAAGGAGCATCACAAACATCATCACCCATACGTCAGCGCTGAATGGCTCTGCAGAGGAAAAGAAATCCATGCTGAAAGGCTTGATACACAGCAGCCACCTTACCCTCCCTTTTTTCGCCTTCCGGAGCACCCCAGTGACAGTATGTGGCAAAATGGGCTTGGGAAAAACAGAAGTTATGCTGAAGCCTTCAACCCTAATCTGAAAAACATCCTGAATTGGTAGAAGCATTGTTTCTTTTTCTGTAATGACTACATTCATTCTCACAGCCACATTTGTGACACACGGCTCCATTTGGAACCACACGCAACCACTGTGACATGCATTGATAAAATAAAATGCATTGATAAAAGACTGTTCCCAGGAAGTCCTCCAGCACCATCTGGAGAGAGTGGGGAAAATGAAACAGAACTGGCATAGTTTCAGACGAGCATCCAACTTTCAAGATGCTACTGAGCCAAAGAACATCTCCAAATTTCTGAGGTTCAGTCCTAGTGATAGTAGTTTTTCAGCTATTCCATTCTTGCAGCAATTGAAACACTGGCTCATTCTAGAATTGTTAAGTGTTTCCATTCTGCAACTGTTTGATCTTTGCCAGTTTTCTCCACCTCCAAGCCTGAAGAGACAAAGATGGGACTGTACCAGATTAAGGAAACCTAGAACTCTGGCCCATGTTACAGTCAATTTTGCAACCTCAATTTAATTGCAATTAAAAAATCTTGAGTTTATTTTATTGTTGTTTTTACATGCCCCAGGTAATACTGGTGGAATACTGGAAGCCTATTTTCCTTGGCTAAAGGCAAAAACTGCTGAAGAGTGAGTAGTAATGAAACAACTTCTTCAAGAAGTTTGGAAAAAAAAAAATTACCCATATAAAATTACTTCTGTTTGTAAGTATTCTCAGGTTCCTGGCAGAGAGCAGACAGTAATTATGTAACTCATGTAGCATGTTTGCTGCATCATAAAGCATTTTGTAAAGCCAAATAGTAGATACTAGGAAGACACAGGGAAATGCAGTAATACTTCTGCATTCTCCAACTACCCTCCTGCACTGAGGAACAACAGAAACCGTTTTATTGGGATGCAGTGCCAGCAAAGAACTGATGGCTCGGCCCTTCAAGTTCTGTCAGATATCTAACTTCCTCCATGTCTCTGACAAGTGAGGACTGAGTTAAAATCTTTACAAATAATGTCTCTGAAAGTACAGCAATTCATTGCTAATTGTCATCACTAAGAAGTATTCGCTGGCTTACCAGCTATAATGTTTGAATCATTTTTTTTCTGGCCTACACTCCTTGAACATGCTATTAGTTGAGTCACTGGGATACCACATGCTGTAGGGTAGATGGCAACCCCGAGGAGCCCATTCTTTGCTAGGATTACTGAGAAATGCTTTGGAACTTCTAGGCAGTGCCTATTTGCATTTGCCTGGATTTTGCTTGCTTGGGATTTAGAACTAAAACATCACAGTTTATTTTTGCATACCTGTCCCACAGGTACTCCTAAAAAGGAACTTTCAGGCTCAGAATCACAAGTAACCTTCACCTAGTTTTTGATGAACACTGGACTACATTTTAATTTTAGCTTAAAATGATACCTAAGAAGGCAGAAGGTGAGACAGTTCCATTGCTACGTGACACCATGACGCTGATTCCCGTCTCAATGAAGGGCACAGAGAAATCCACTACTTCTGATCTTTCCTCATTAATTGTGAGGGATCCCACAGCCATATAGGCCCGTTTGGTGACGACCTAGAGAAAAGAAAAGAAGATTTCACACATACAGACCCAGGGCCAGCCCCACTCAAGCATCATGAGCGTGTCCCTTCTCACCATTCTGCCTTTCCGTGCAGTTCTTTCATTCCTCTAATCCCATTCCCTATATTGTTTCTATCATTTCTCCTTTCTAATCTTTCATCAGGACACCTTCTTCTTTCAGGGAATCTATAGACATTTATCTTCCCCTCAAAGCTGCTATGTGTATAAAAAATAAATCCACAGAGGTCTTAGGATAAACACATCATCCACTGAGAAGATGTCTTATCTCATTTTTCTGTCCTTGCTTTCTCCTCCTTCTAACACTGCAAAGTCTTATTTCATTCTTTATACATCTTATATATGATCGAAGCTTAATCTAGGCTGCAGCCTCTTTGGTGCATGGATATCACATTCTTTCTTTGACTATAAAGGCCAAATTTGTGACACTACAAGGAATAATAATTAATCTCTGAGCAGGAAAGGTGGTCATGGTCAGAGAGTCAGAGCAGTTTAATTCACACAGTGCCCAGAAAGGAGTCAATCATTTCTACCGAGTCACTTCTGTCCCCTCCCTGAAAGGGAACAGAATAATGACTGAGGATCAGACCTGACCTATAGCACCCAGCCCAGGAATGAAGACCACCACACCCTCCTTTTGCTGCTGACCTCTCCAATCATTCCATTCCACGTCCCATTGATCTTTTTCCCATGCTTGCCATTAGTCACCAAGTAGAGGTCATAGGTGAACTTGACAGACTTCGAGATTTTCTTGAGGATGTCGATGCAGAACCCCTTACAACACTTCTTCATATAATCCGGCTCCTCATCAGTTTTGTTCCTGAATCATCACAACAAAAAATGAGTTTAGAAAAACAGAGAATACAATGTGGAGAATTTAACTTGTGATATCTGTGCAGGAGAGTGAAGGGTCACACTACAATGACCTTCCTAGTGGGGCCAATCATGAATGGGCACAGGCCAGGCTGCGCAAACAGGTGATTTTTCTAAAAAGGATTATCAGGATGTGCCAGTATTGGCCCAATACCCTACTTCTTGCTGAGAAGGGAAAGCACAAAAGGAGGAGACAAACTGAGGGGTACATACTCAGTCACAATGCGTTTTTGGCAAGGGACTGTGTTTCTCATGCAGGTGCCACTTAGGGGGTCCACATTCTCCACAATGACAAACGGTGCCTCTTCCAGGGTCACTATACTCAGGTGATCATCTTCGCGCTCCTCAGAGTCAGGATAAAGCTCAAAGCGGGGCCACACGTAGTACTTCATCTGCAACTTCTTTTCCTTCCATTTCCCCACCTGTGGAGACATTTAAAACATAAGATAGACTTCTAGCTGCTCCACCACTCTGCATTAAGCACATCCCCAGGCCCAGGCAGGAGAACCACTCTGGAGTGCCCAAGCCTGTATGGGACAGAGATGTTTTGGGGAAGAAGGCTCTGAGGAAATAGGTTCAAACCAAGAGAGAAGAGATGAAGAAATACATCTGTGAGTGTCTCATCTCTCTGATAGTTTCATCCTCTGGGAAGTGAACAGATGACCAGTGGGGTACCATCAGCCAGACATGACATCTTTCAGCTTTCTCAACCAAGCAACAACTAGATATCTTGTTGTCTGCTGAAAAGTTCAGCCTGCTAACCACAATAAAAAAAGATTGTTTTCCTGTTAAAAGAGACAAGAAATACATACAGAACAAGTGAAATAAAAAGTAATTTTGAAACAGAGAAACTGAAAAACCTCACTTGAAAAAGTCAAAACAAATCTTATTTTATTTTTCAAAATTTTGTTTTCATTTGTTTTCAGTGACATTAATCACATTAATTCACCTTAACCAAAGTTAGCTTTATCCAGAAATGACTCCTTCTGGAAATAGGTTGCTCACTCTTAGTCAGGACTAAGTTATTCCGAATGACAGAGGAGAGGTGACTGAAGAGGGGGATGTTCTGCAGTTTTAGGAGCGTCTTCACAGGAGATAAACATATACAGAGATGCATATTTAACAGTACTCCACCTATTCCCTGCTAAGGCTCACCAATATACCTACTCTTGTCCTTTCACAATGACATGTTTAAATATCCTAGCTGGAAACAAGGGATTGTTCTGTTTCTGACACAGAAGTTCAAGCAGCCTCTAAGATTTTTATTCTCAGAATTTTTCCATAAAGATGTATTGCAATTTTACATCTTTTCATTCTCCATTTCTTAAGCAGAGATCACACCTTCAGAGAGCAGAAAAGGAGGGGTGGGGACTCCTTTGTTTTATACCTACTGCCACAAATAAGAGTTGTTTTGAAGTGAATCTATTCCCTTAAGAGAAGATATGTGTAGCACGCCCACTGCCAATGGTAGACTGCTTCTTGCAAAAATTCCAGGAAAAGAAAACACCTGAACATCAACTACACTTTGAACTATCAAAGTCTCGCCTTTGTTCTCATTTCCCCCCATCACAGTTGACACTAATTAGCACCTTGGCTCGCAGCTCGAGCTGAGTGGGCAAGAAACTAACTGGGCTTGAGAAGGAACTTTCCTGCTCCATCCTCAAAGGAAGCCCTCCAGGCCATGAGGGGGGAGAGGTGTATGTGGGAAGCTTGTGTGACTGCTTTTAGCGGTGTACCTGCTTGGTGGGTAAACAGAAAAGCTTCATTCCACCGCAATCCAACGCTACCTCCCACCACCCCCAAATTTCAGTCATTTATTTATTTAAACGACAAGAAGGGAGGGAGAAGCACTTATTAGAGGCTCATTAGGTGTCAGCGGTTATTCTGTGAAACTCAAAGCCCAGCTGGGGTTTGGCATTTCAGAGCAGCCAGAATTCACATAAAACACTTGTCACCTTCAAAACAAACAAACAACCGCTTCATCTGGCCATGAAAGAAAAACCCATTCTGAGGGCTGGTGGAAGGAGAAGAAAGGCAGAAGAAATCACCCAGAGACAGCAGCCTCCCCATCTATCCTGCAGTGCAAACACAACACCCCACGGAGAGCAGGACTGTGGTTTCTACCAGAAGCAGGTGAAATGGCCAGGCAGGAGGCTGCTGAGTGGGAAGGGAGATGTTGTTTTAATTTTTAAATATGCTTTGATCAACAAGTGGAAGCAGAGTGGGATCCCAGGGAACTGGTGGCCCCTGTTACCCACAAATGAGAGATTATGTTGAACGTAGCAGACAGTCTCCACTCACACCCCTATGTAAGTCTGCATGTGGAAAGTGCATTTCTAAGGGGACAGAGCACATATACCCATATGCTCACCCACAGTCTGCTCAGCCTTGGACTTCCCACTCATTGAATGAGCAGGTCAATTTATTATCAGCTGAGCCAGAGATTTCTGCCTTCAAGAACTTTGGCCTTCAAGTAACTGATCTCAAATCCCTAAAACCAGTTCAGTGAAGTCACCACACAAGTAGAATAACTACACACACAGGGCTCAAGGGGGAGCGGCGATTAAGATGCAGCACAGAGCAGCACAGACTTCAGCTCAATAACATTAACTTATCATAGAAATAAGCAGTTGATGAAAGAGACATCCTGCAGTATCTCAGCAGCACTTAGATATCACAGTAATAGGCATGATATAAACCCCTAAGTGATAAATTAGATCAGATAGGCGAACCCAACTCGTAATTACCCAGAAGTTCTCTGGTACAGAAAGAGGACTTCATAAGGCTGCATGCTAGGCACATTTCACAGCACTGTACTACATGGGCCAACGTTATGAAATTAGGATGACAGCAACAGTCATGGCCTCCTGTGCACTGGAGTACCTAATCTGCAAATACAGCTGTATGTGCCCCTTCATTATTATCCTAGTGAAGTCCTCATAAATTGTCTGAAAAGGAGGAAGAACAGAATATAAGGAAATGCTCTGGCCTGTTTAACTATGGACTGTCTCAAGTATATATGCAAATATTGCACCTCGTTGCTAATCTGTACAATCAAGCATAACATACAATTACTTATACACCTGGTGACATGTACTGGGAATGAACAAGTGATACAAAGAAAATCAGAAAAGATTTGTGAACTGAGGGAGAGCAGACTTCTTCACATGCTCACGCATGTAAGGATCAAATATGTACATCTGTAGTTAAAGACAGGCTTTAAGCCACATGTGAACGATCGTAAAGATACTAAGAAGCTCCTCATGAACAGGACAGAGACAACGCAAAAGAAAGAAAATAAAAATGTGCATTTTATGCTAGATAATCTGCCATGAAAGAGAAGGAGCAATTCACTCTGGGGACAGAGGTTAGCCTCAAAAGAATTAAATGTCACAGATTTGTACAGATAATGATGCCTGCTCTTAAAGAATATAACCCGCCAAGCTGTGCAGAGCAGAATAAGGCACTCCTGAACTCTCAGGATATTTGGTATTAACAGCTTGTAAACTGTTATTACTTAGGTTTTGCTCAGTGCTTGCCTCAGCAAAAAGAGGAAAAATAAACCATCCCAGGCATCCTGCATATTTGTCAACCTGCAGTTTCAAGACTCACTGGGTGTTCTCTGATCAGAGTCCAGTCATCCAAACTCCCACCAGGATTACTGCAGGGTCACAAAATCAGCAAAAATAAGGATGCCAGAGGCCATTAAAAGCCCCTTATAAATACTGTCCAAAACCTAAGTATTATTCTATATGCCAGGGGAGGGCTCCTAGAGCAAAATTTTCACCTTAATTTCCCATTCTCTGTCTATACCACACCAGATCTTATCGAGAAAGGGAGGTCACTTAGACTGGGGATTAATAGGGAGGCACTGAGGGAGGGGAGAAACCAACTTTCACCTTAAAATACAGAATCCTACTTCAGATTAACACGCAGCTGGGAGAAGAAGTCCAACACATTTACAAAACAAGAAAGTGAGAGCGACTGTAGAACAAAAAGTCAATCACGATGCTATCGGTTTGCCTACGTGTATAAGCTATAACAGGCAGACAAAAGGTACAATTGCCTATAATAAGTCAGAGCCTTCCAAAAGCCTTCCAGCAGGCTGGCAAATTGCCTTAACCGCGGTATAATGCAGCCAGAACAAAAGCGTTCTGCAGTATGTTAATGCGTATCTTTAATGAAAGGTGTTGTAGCATATTAGCTCCCCGAAACTAATTCTTAACAGAGCTTTGCTCCCCTCCCAAGAGAAGCTAAGGCTTGTAACAGTCATTTGTGACAGATGTTTGCCCAACCTGTCCTTTCACTGGCAAAGAGGCTGCAGTCTCTGTGGGCAGTCTAACTATCCTTGCTATTAAAAAAGTGTGATTTTTTTTTTTGCCCCAATGTCTAACCTAAATCTTCTTGCTGCAGTTTATACCAGGAGAGTATATTTCCTCATTCTTCTGCATGTGCCCTTTTCAGTGTTATCAGGTCAGTAAGATATTTATAACACAAGGGCTGGTAGTTTCATTCAGTGGATACCTTAAGTGCTGCATTAGCTAAAGCAACTGCCTGTTCAAGTGACCAGCACTCAGACTAACCATTTACAAAGCCCTCCCTCAGATTTATAGTGCAGACAAATAAGAGCTTCTCCCATAAACCCCCAAGACTGTTTGTTGCAGCCACAGCAGAAGCCAACCTCTCAATTCCTCGTAGTATGCCTGTGAAGGACCACAAAAGCATTTGGAGAAACTTCCAACTTCCAGTGTCAACAGACTGAGAAACAAAACCACATCAAAATGTGGCCCTTCAAGGACTAAACTGGAGAGAAAGATTCAGGGTATAAAGAAAAGAGGGGTTCAGACACAATTCTTGTGCAAGATACTCAGGCATACTGTGTGATTTTGGGTTTAGGTTTCTGATTTTGAAGAGATGCCTGAAGAACTATGCCTGGGTAAAGTCTTTTGATAGTTCTTGTTTCATTCAGGCTCCTATTTGCACCATGCCTTGCTACTCCATTAAAATCTTCTCTAGCTTCCTGACACTCCTTGTAAAGAAGTGATGCGAGAAAAGGAACAAAAGGTATTTGGTTCCTTTTAAAGAACAAAAGATCATTCCAAACTCACTTAGGACTCAAACGCTTTCTGCTTTTCCCAAAACATTTTTCCTCCTTTATATTACATTTTCTTTTCCAGGAACTGAGGGGCTTTTTCATTCCAGTGGGGAACATAAAGGCAACAGCACAGGGCAGGAATTGGAAGGCACCAATTCCCTATTTTGCCAAGGACCTCTGGGACCCGATCTGCAAAGACACCCTTGTGCCTCTGCTTCACGTTGTGTAAAATGGAGATAATTGTATGTTCTCACTTCTGGGGTTCATGGAGTGAATAAACACAGAAATAGTCATGAGGTTCAGAAATACTATGGAAATTGGGAGATA